GACATGGCACCCCAGAAAGAGCTGAGTCAGGCAGTAGGACTCATTTCAGAAATGGACTCATGGACACCCTGGCCAGAGAGCCCAGGCCTGGCTGGGTGTTTCATACTCCTGTCACAGACCCACCTCTGGCAAAGGGGAACACTGCCGTGGGCTGTTCAAAACCACACTGAGCAGTGGGCTGGGACCTTGGACACTGGGACCCACATTCAGCAGAGGCCACCTGGTGAGTTTTCACTAGAGGCTCTGCCAGTGGAGCTGGCCCTGCTCAGTCCAAAGCTCCACGTGCCTCAGCAGGGGATAAAGTCCCTGTGATGCAAGTGAGAAAGGTGCCAGGGAAGGCAGCGTGGATTTGTCCTGCCTCAGGCAAAGGCAAACCCGTGTATGGGATTGCTTTTGCTCAAGGACCTGGGTGCACTTGGTGGGTGATGAAGAGGGGTGGGGAAACAGGATATTCACCTCGAGGGGATTTGATTTTTGGGTGAGAGCAGTTTGTAATGTTGAATTGTATAATACTGGTTGCTGAATGACACTGTCACTGTGTGCCATTACCACCAAGGACAGTGAGCATGGATTGCTCCCAGTTGTGAGCTCCTGGTGCAACCACCAGACAGGACACGTGTCTCTCTCTCCCTCCCTCTTTCTTCCCCCTCCACATACATATGCATGTAAGTATTTAACTGCACAAACACACACACACACACACACACACACACACACACACACACACATAGAGTTGGAAGGTGTAGGATCTGAGCATGATGTAGACGCTGTAGAAAATGTCCTGGTTCCAGCCAGGATGGCTTAAGTTTTGCAGCAGCCAGGAGGGGCATGGCCAGGACCCTGGAGTTGTCCAGTACCACCTCACACCATCTGCAGTGGTGTTGTGTCTCTCTGGTTTTCTGGAGTGTGTGGTTGGGTGGCACAAGGTGCTGCATGGTAAGCAACTGCGTGTGAATAGTTCTTCTGTTTTGTCAATGCTCTTATTTGTGTTCTTGTTACTGCTCATTTCCCCATTTCATTGCTCTTTCTAGTAAATAATTCTTATCCCAGCTCATGATTTTTCTATGCCTGCAATTGTCCTCTCTGTCCCACTGCATGGGGAGGGAGAAGTGAGGGAATGGCACGTGGTCTGGGCTGTTTCATTGGGAACACTAAATCATTCCTAAACCATGACATAGAGCCTCCTACATGTAACATTCCTGTTTGGCCAAAGACCATTTCAATCCACAAATAAGTTTAAATTTAGTATATTTTGAAGGCATTTATTAATGGCTATGGTCTCTCTGCAGTCTCTGTACATCTCTTTCATTATGATAAAAGTTGAGAGGTGCAGACAGATTGGGGACCTAGAGCACAACAACTCTTGCAGGTTCAGGGCTTTTTTCTAATCCTGGAGATGTGACATTTCCCAGATTGTGTGGGCATACATGTGTGAGGGCTTGTGGGAAGCTCAGTTTCACATACTGTAAGGCATGCATGCATGTTTCCATGCATTCTGCAACTACTGGAAAGCCAGCAGCTTCTCTCTTTTACATCATTTGAAAGATAACACCTGGGGGAGGCATCTGTCTTTTGTGGTTTTGCAACAGGAATTTTCTTTCTTTCAGAAAACTGTAGTTAAGCTATGATTAAGGTTTAAATAGACAAGGTTATTTTTAATATTATTTGGAGAGGTAGTCAAGCAGTGACTTGACGTCGATGGCAAAACTCCCACTGACTGTGCCATAGTGAGGTTTTCATTCAATAAAAAAGCAATAAAGAATCTGATTCATAATGAAGGGAGGAAAAAATGAATCAATTCAAGCTGTGTGGGTAGATTCTTTCCTGTGCTGTTAACTGTGCAATGCCATCAAAACAACAAGGTCTGTCCTTATCTCCTGTAGTATTTATGGTTATTCTTTACTTACAAATGACTAAACATAATTAGCCCCTATAATTAACTGTTTGTTGTCTATGGAAACTGTTGAGTGATGGCTTTTTCTGAAAAAACCCTTGTTAATAATTTAACATGAGAAATAGTTTGAAATTGTCTGAATTTCGGCATTTAAAAAATGATGTAAGGGTTGAACAGGTATTGTTTGTAGACATTTTTTTAAACAAATGTGGTTTTTAGTATGTATACTATATACAACATAAATATTTATCTCTTTTTGTCCAGTGATAAAATTATAGTTAAAAATATCATAAGAGTTGTAACTATCATAAGAGCAAGTAATATGACCATTTATACATATTATTTAATTTGACACATCTTGCTGAATGAACATGCTAGAGGGCCATAGCTCAGAAATAATTTATTATAGTGTCCCTAATTACTATCAGTATGGCTTAATATTTGAAACAATTACTAATATAAACTATTCAATTAACTCTGCATGTTTATTTCTGATTAATTATACTATATATAGTGCTTCTCTATTAAAATAAATACTTAATGTCAGTAACAAAAATTATCAAATAACATGCTAACTCAGGCCTGTTTGGCCAGCCCTGAGTGGCTATTCTTTTCAATACTAGACTTAAATTTTTTTTAAATTAACATTTTAATTTGCATGTCATTTTCAGGCAGAACAGAATCACTCATTTTTTTTCCTTCTTATGGGTTATGCTCTTTTATTATGTGCTTCTCAAGGTAGTTTGAGTTATCTTTATGTAATAAATATGTATTGATGCACAATCTTAATTGATCAGGGTACCAATACCCTATTATTTCCCTACCCTTAAAGCAAAACAAACTCAATCCTTATTCCATATTATCTATACTGGCTGAGTTCTAAAGTTTGCATATTGAATAAAAAAAAAACAAACCCTCAAGACGTTTACTTCTCGACTCCAACCAGCTGAAAAGACCTGCAGGTCACTGGTCTGCAGTTCTTTGACTAATGTCTTTGAAAATGAAAGCACTGGGTGAACAGTTGGCTTGGGACACCTGGTTAAAATGAATAAACTGCCTTGGTTGCCACAGCCAGAACCTGCTGCCCTTCTAAGAACAGGGTGAACTTCATTGTGCTCCTTAATATTGATTCTCATGATGTCATTTGTGATTTCTTCTGCCATTCTCTCTGCCTGTGGTCTGTGGAAGCAAAACCAGAAGATTAAGGGAGAGTTAATGAATTAGTAGTTGCAAACACAAATTTGGAATTATTAGAGCCCAAGGCTGTCATGAGATGTCACATCTCTCAAAAGAGGTGCTAAAACCTAAGGCATCATTTAGCTCCATAACACTGTAACACTGTTGTTTAGATCTTGTGGTCCAAATTCAGTGTCACATGGCAGTAAGGGAAAGACTTAGTCACTTCTTTTGATGTTGTCCTGTTGAATCTCTGACTTAATAGTTTCCAAATGTTTTCACATAAACTGATTGTGCAGCTGCTGCTGGTTTCTGCATTTCAGCAGCTCTAAATGTGGGGCCCGTAGGAGAGCATAAAAATAGATTTGGGGCTGCTTTGGCACTATTGGTTTTAGGCCTGCCTGGCAGTGATCACAGCTCCTGTGGCTGCAGAGCTCTTGGCTGGTACTGTACAATCTGAAATTAATCCCCATATTTGCTCTGCATCTGCTCTTCCCTGTGCAGAACTTCAGGAATGGTATTAGTAATGACCATGGGAGTGAAAATTGCCCATAAGGAAGAGGAGCATATGTTACATAGTAAATACAAATATTTCTGAAACAAAGTTACATTGTGGAAATATTAAGATGGTGAATGCTTGCACATCAAGATTTACATATCACTGATGGGTTTTGTGTTAACTTTTTGTGCCCTTGAGAGGCTTTGCAGAAATCTGAGCCCTTCTGTGCTGGGATGCATCAAGTAAATTACCAGCATAAACAGTGAGATTGGTGCCAAGCTAAATGTGGGCACTGCAATGAATATTTATGTTTCCAACTGGATTAATGTACTTTTAGTAGATGTATAGACACAGGATGAAATATTTAAAATTGCTTGGCATTAATTGACAGTTAAATATTTGCTAGTGTGGCTAGCTTTTGAGAAGTAGGAAACCCTTGTGATTTTCCCTTCTGTGTCATTGTAATCAATGGACACTGCTTTGCCCTTATGTTCAGCAAAAGTAAAACTGAGAACAAATTAACTTATCACTATACACCAGATCTTTACAGTAGGGGAGGCAGGATGAGTTGGATTTATGATTGCTGCACCTGTGGTCGTGGAAAAGGATCAATGCCAGGTTGGCTAATGAAATAATGGTATTAAATATTATCTCTTTGAATCACTATCTTTGTTCAAACTAGTACAATGCCATTTTGCTGGACAGAACTACTCCTATTTTTTCATAGTTAGAGCAGAAGAGCATGGAATAAGTAAGATTAAAAAACAACAATTGTTGTAATTACTGTCATTTCTGAAAGCAAATTACTATAGTAAAGCAATAGTCTAAAAGGAGTAGGTTTTCCTGAGTTACATGACAATTATATGTGAGCTGCCATATTTTTGGTAGTCAACAAAACAAATGCATACACATAGTTTTGTTAATTTTTTCCAAGAGGGTCTGTGAATAATGATAGATTCATAAAAGCTAATTACAGTTAACTCCCAAAACAACTGGTTGTGTGAGATAGTAACTGAAAAATCTATAAACATTCCAAAAGTCTGTGAGTCTGACAATGTGAATACAAATTTAAGTATAAATTTATACTTGAGTATTTTATTCAAATAGGTTTTAAAACTGCCTTTGCAGTGCATCCCCTGACATGGACAAAACAATCACTATGCTGCCATGGCAAGAAGTGCCCTAATGAAGGGTATTTGAACCTGAGTGCTGTAGATGTATACACCAATCTGGGGATCATGGGATTTTCTGTGCTATGTACACTGTGTTACCCTTCAGTCCTCTCAAATATGTACAAGATCAAAGAACTTTTCTGTTAGCTACTTTTAATTTAGGATTTGTGACCCCGGTGGTTCTATCAACTTGATTGCTTCCTGTTTAAAAGAATTCATAAATGTGTAATATATAAATATAGAGCAACATGTGGAGCAATGTATATATAAATTTGTTTTATTATTGTTGCCTGCTGTAGGATTCTCCCCTATACACTCTGAAATATGTTTTGGTCTGAGATTTCCCCGAGTGAGAACTCTGTACAGAAATTATTTATTTAGAAAAGTTATAGTTACCTTCATGTAATTCTGATTTTAAGTAGGTACCTTTTTGCAACAGTCCTGTTCATGTGCCACTACAGGCACTTGTGGATACTATCCTAAGTGGTTTTACTGCAGTTTTCTTTGATTTTATTTCCTAATTTTCATTAAAATAATATTTTTCCTTAATTTACTTGGCTGCCCTATCTGGCACCTTTACCTTCAACAGAGGAAATAGCTGGAATGTTTGACAGCCACATGGATGCCCTGGGAGGGGATGCCCTCCTGGGGAGTTGTGGTGCAGCCACACTGCTGTCCTGGGGGATAAAGGAATGAATGTCAGCTCAGGGGAGCACCACTGATGAGTATGAAAGGGGATCTCAGATGACTCAACCTTCACAAACATGGAAATGCACAGGCAGAAATTTTCTCGCTATTGTCTTTCAGTTTTTGACAAATATCTCACTGCCTCAGGCATAGGGGTTGCAGATGATGTTGGATCCTAACAATATGTACGGTTAAAGCTTTGTCAAAACAAGTACCAATGTGCTCTTAAAACAGTTTTGATAATCTAAATCACTGATTAGCCTCATACTCACTGTCTTTTTTTTTTCCTTTCCTTCTCTCTAGGCATACTTACAGCCCATGTGTGTATGAATCCACAGGGCTGCCAGTCTTGTTCACTCATTCTTCAGTTGTTTAAATTATTTTCCTTTCTTGTTCTTCAAACCATTTATCACAGGCTCTCCTTTTATTTTCATGCTTCTGCTGCACAGACTGTGTCATAGTTAAAGGATATATTGGATTACAGGGTTTTCTTTATGCACAAGAAAATCTGACTTTTCATGGTTTTAAACTCCATTGAATGTTGAAGTAACTTTGATTATTCTACAAATCTCTTGACAGCAGTTTTGTTCCATGGTTTATGATTATCCTTTTTTTCTCCTCTCTGTACTGTGGTCTGAATTAGTATGCTGATTTGTGAAAACATGACTGTGTTTTATATTAATCAGATTTCACTTGTACACTTCAGATAAATTTTACTTTTAGAAATTTTATACAATGCGCAATAATTAAAACAGCCTCGGCAGCATGGAACAGATATGAAAACATTACACCTTCAGGGCAGGTATAATTTCCTATCCCTAGCTTGATGACATGCCACCAGTTTTGTACCACTCTAGCTGTAACTGTCAGTATCTGGCAGGATCCCTGAGGATCCAGGAAGACAAGTGCTTGTTGATCCAGTGGACAAACCAAAGAGAGCAGAGCATTTTGTGCCATGGAAATCCACCTCATGACTTAGTAGTGATGGACTTGAGATGTTCTGTGTCCTCTTCCTGGTAGGTGCTGGCTCACAGCCTGTGTAAAGATCAGACATCCACACTTTAGCACAGGTTGGCATTTCTTCTTTAAACTTATTTTATCTCTTAAACTTGCTTTTTTAAACTTGTTTTTTTCCTATCTTTTAAACGTGCTTTAAACTTATTTTATCTTTTAGTGAAATTAGCTAAACAGATTATTGTCCTGATATCCTAATACATTGTCTTTCCTTTTATTTACTTTTATTTCCTATTTATTTCCTTATATTACAACTTATATCCTTTTTCACTCTCTCTGTGGAACAGTTTCACTGAGGCACAGTTCCAAATTCTTGCTGTTATCAGTCTACTCATGTTAAGAAGAACTTTAGGAAATAAGATGTCATTTGCTCTTTTATGAACACAAAAACCACTGTGCTATGAATATATATATATATATATATATAATATATATATATGAGAACATTGAGAAGATGTTCTAAATTGTCAGTTCTAAATTGTCAGTAATCATTATTCTAGTTGATTCCAAGGATACTTTCATACTTTAAAATCATTAGGACTTTTAAAACTATATAGGGTATTGCAGTGATAAGAAGTGCACACTTCATGAGAATGAGTGTAAGAGAAATTTATGCTCAAAACCATACCATTGGAAATTTAAAAATATAACTATAGTAGACAAATAATGGAAACAAAGCCATACATCAGTCATAGTGACAACCCCTGAGACAGGTGAAATACAAATTGCATCTTCTAGGACCAAATAAAACTTTTAAGGAAGTATCTAGGCCAAATTTTAAGGAAGACTAGCCAGAGATGCTTAATTTTTGTTATTGGTAACACAAGTAGTAGGAAATAAAAAAATATATATTTGTTGATGAAACAGGAGAAGCCTGGTTATCCTTACCCTCTACTGTGCTTTTCCTGTTCAACTGGTAATTGGGTGCAAGTAAAATGGCAGTCTATAATAAGTATACTGTGTAGTATAGACTGCAACTATTATTCAGTTTACAGTGGAATTGCTGCAGTGCTTGTAGTGTGGTTCAGAACTGTTCTGTCAGTATTGCTGTGATTTTTAACCCAGGGCTTCCTGGTGAAATGGCAGAGCAGCAGCTCTGAGTTACTTGCTGCACCATTCCTCAGATGGCAGCGTGCTGAACAGCATGCTCTGGCTAACTTGTCTTTGCACAAGTTTCCTAGTTGTAAGAATGGATGAAAGACAGCTCTAAAAATTATTATTGTTCCCAGCTAATGGGTGACATTACACCAGAGAGCATTTTCGGGGCTGGCAGGGGGAATGCCACAGGGTGGTGTGACAGGGGAGCTGCTCTGCAGCCTCTGCATCTGCACTGCAGTAGTTCACTACCCTTCTCCACAGCACAAACCAGTCACTGAACTGAAGTGTCTCTACAGTCCTAATTTATGTTTTGATTTTCTGTGCATGCTCCACTTTAGATGACCCTGATTATATGTAACACTTTAATTAATTTATATTTTTTTTTCTTTCTTTTTAACAGAATTGGAGGCTGGGAGCACATTGCTGAGCAACCTCAGGTGGCTATTTTCATCTTCTCTGGTAACAATATTTATTCTGAGCAAAGATATTTGTTCTCTCCCTAGGAGATAGATAGCTTTAATGTGCATTCATTGTGTGAGTTAGAGGAGCTTTCATGCTTCTAATTCCAATCTGTTTGATCTCCTACTTAAATTCTAAAATAAGTCGAGTAACTCATGCAGCTAGTATATGTTGACTAAGAATGTATTGATACTTTGTTCCATTTCCTTCTGTAGAAAAGAAATAAAGTGATAAAGACAACCTCAGGCCCCGCTGAGCCTGTTATTTCTGTGAATTCTTGCAGGTAAAGGGGAATCCGAAAACACATTAATTCACCTAAAATGTGATTCAGCTTTATTTTGGTACTACTCTTCTATCATTTACAAGCAGAAGGTAACTTCTTGAGTTACTTTAACCCTCATTTACCAAACATCTTGTATGTCAAGGAAAATAGTAAATCCTTTAAGACTCCAGCTACCAGAGAGAGTAAACCCCTAATATAGCCAAAGCACAAAAGTATTTATGAACTAAACTAAATCATCCGAACTCATGCCATCAGCAGATAAGAAGGAACTGGCAGAAGAGAGAAAACAGTTTAGCATCTCAGTAGATCTGGGGTCTCACTATTGTCTTGCAGTGCTTTTCTACTGAGTAGATAATAAAACCCATCATCACCGCAGTTTAAATCGTGATTTAAAGCCACCAGGGAGGTAGGAGGTATGGTGTGCTGCTGAAATAGCCTTTCACAGGTGAAATCAGTGTGTAGGAACTCGGGGTCCCTGTGAACACTGCAGAGTGCCTGTGCTGCAGGGAATGAGTGTGTGTGAGTGTGAGAGTGTGTGTGTGAGTGTGGGTGTGTGTGTGTGAGTGTGTGTGTGTGTGTGAGTGTGAGAGGGTGTGTGTGAGAGTGTGAGAGTGTGTGTGTGAGTGTGGGTGTGTGTGTGTGAGTGTGGGTGTGTGTGCTGGCCTGTGGTGGATGGCAGCCTCCTGAAACAGCTGACATAATTGCTGACATAAACCAGCAATTTGAGATTATACTTCAAAAACCCAATCACACTGAAAATATTGAAAGCCACAAAGAAGAGAGAAATAAAGCAGTGCTGGTTGTGGCCTGGCTTTTTCTTTCAGGTGTCTGCAATGATTTGTTGTCCAGTGGAGCTTATTGATAAAGTGCAGCTTAAAAAATTTGTTAAGGAATCCTGATAAACTCCCTCCAATTATTTCTGTAAGTATTTGAAATGCAGACAATTCTAATTCTCCTCTGTAATTATTCTGCATGTTTCGAAAATCTGATTTTAGTAACATAATTAAACACAAATGAGACACAATTTTCTTCATGGAGAGGTTGTGTGGACCTTCAGTTTTGTTAAGAGAGCTAAGTTACAAGTATAAAAAAAAACCTAATATGCTATTACAGCTGCCTTGATAGCAGTTACAAAGACAACTGAACCCTTTCAAGAGAGAATAATTTTATTTTCTTTTTCAAGCAATTACCCTAATGTAATTGCTGCTCATAATCTGGTCTGCTTGATACAAACTCAGGATTTCATAGGATGTTCAGAGTGTCATAGAGGAATATCACAGCTTTGCACTCTCTTTGGAAAAATGCCTATATATTGGTGATGTTCTTACAGTATTTCTCCATAAAACAATTTGTATTTGCCTCCCTGTGATACCAAAATGCTCATATTTAATTCCCATCACATTTTATAAAATGAATGTGAATTATAACAGTGCTTTTCAGCTCTACACAAAATTCATGAATAACAAATCCCTAAAGAAGAGGAAGGAAAATAGATCACTGTGAGGTTTAGTAATGATCTATAATGGATCAAGGCAGAAATAGTGTTAGAGTTGGTACAGCAAAGTACCCTTGAGAATTTTCTTCTCTTTCAGGGAGAGTGTAGTTGTCACTAAATGTAAACCTTATTAAATGCAGCCAGATAGTGCTGTGCAGTGATGCAATAAAACCAGAGATGAACAGTGTGAGGCTGAGACAAATAATGTCTTACATTATTTTTCTGATGTTTTCTACCCAACTTTTCTTTAATGCCAGCTGTCAAAAGAGAACAGTGGTGATTATATGGGATCACAGACTTGCTGATCCGCACAAATCTGTACATGCATTGAAATTAATACATGCTGAAAAGGAGATAAATGCATATAAATTGCTTGTGGAACTGATAAAATTATAGCCTTAGTCTAAAGAAATCTCAACCAAATTAATCCATAGTTAGACATGCTTGTAAAAGAAACCTAAGCTTTTATTAGTTACAAAAACTAGATACAGGGGAAACTGATGTGAATAAAGTAATAAAATGACATGTAATCACAATAAGACAAGTATTACACACATGGACAGACTAAGGTTCCAAGTTATTTTAATGTTTTTAAGTACTAATATTAACAGAATCCATAATCTTTGTATCATTCTACGTCTTCATTTTTCTACTGCATATTTTTAAGAACTGTAGCATCAGTAAAACTTTATCAAAACTTTATTTTGGTGGTGTTATGTGACTTTTTTGTGATCCAGTTCTGTCAAAAGCATTAAAATGAATGAGCATACCTATAGCATACATAATATAAAACATTTACTCCTAGAGCCATCTCTGTATTATGTTTTGGAATGGGATATGAAGGCTTGACACTTGGCTTGAGCAGTGATTCAGTTTGGTGTGACTGTTTTAAAGTGATTTTAAAATAGTCTGCAAATCACCCTGAAGTAGAGCACCTAGGATGGGTTCTGCTGGTTGTGTTTTCAAGGTGGATGTTGTGATGAGATAATTAATTTCCCTAGGTCAGCAGATGCTAGAGCATACACATATGTACCTTCATATATAATTGCCTAAAATATACATCTATTTATGTGAACACAAAAGTGTGTGACCGAAAATTAGGTGTCAAAATTTTTAATTAGTCCTATGTGAGCATCAAAGTATAATTCTAAACTGAGTGGATTTTATCTTGACAAGATAGTGGCATGGACACAATCTGTTAAAAGAGTCTGCATGCATCATTTTGCTTTCAGTCCTATAGAGTCCACTGTTTGGGTGAGGTGCAAGGGTGTTATTTAATGGAAATAAGAGATGCAATTTACTATAATTACCATAAAAAGGGTTAAATCAGAATGTAGAGGTGGCTATATATGTTTTTTTAAATTACAATAATAGACGTACCAAGGAAAAATTCTTTTATGAAACATTCCATTATTGCTTTTACAGACCCATAATTTGAGAATTACTGCTCAAATCCCCAGATGAAATGATTTTACAATCATGGGTCCATTAGAGGTTTAAGAATTGTCTAGTTAGATTACAAAGAGTTTAGTTGTGAAAAATTGTTGTGTGATTTATTATGCTATTTAGAATTGCACAGACACATATGAATTAGGCTGTATCTGCAGAACAGACAGCTCACCGCTGTGCTGAATGTGGGGCCTTCTCATCTACAGGTAAACTTCGTACTGATCCACTTACCATTTTCTGTGACATCCATTTCTCTCATTCCAGGCACACCCCACATGATACTACTCATCCTCAGGCGTTCATTAAGAGCCAGAGTGATAGGCAAATGGGAATTACAATTATAATAATTCCAACAAAGGAGTTGATAAGGAAAAGGTAAGGCACAGGTCTGTAGCTCAGCCAGGGTAAGGATCTCAACCCAATGCACTACCATAGCCACACTTTATATCGTTGAAATAAAAAGGCCTAAAGCACTGGTACAGGTTCTCAGGGGGAGTATGTCAGCATCTGCAAATGGGAAAACAAGGAAAAGTTCAGCAAACGTGAGGTAGAGCTGTTAGGGCAACCTAAGCAGGGGTACCTGCCCCTTGCACTGTTTTGCAATTCCCTTCATCAAGTTCCCAGTTAACTCCTGCTGTCGTCTTGCTGCTTGTAATCACATTAAGCTTTGTCCATTTTCAGCGGGAGAGGACGGGTTACGTCGTTCACAGTAATCCAAGCCGGCAGCCCAGCCGTGGATACGTTACCTGTTTGGGGACCAGAGGACTCGTCCCAGGGTCCGCAGGGCTGGAAGGGCTCGGGCCCCAACACCTGGTGCGGGTGGAGCGCCCGTGCGAGCTCTGAGGCCAGCCGGGCTCCGGGGAGGCTTTTCTGCGGGCGCCCGTCCCCGACACAGCGGGAGCTGCGGCGGAGCCGGCCCAGCGCAGCTCCGCAGGAAACTGCCGGGGAAAGGCGCCGCGCCGGGCCGAGGCAGCCGCGGCCGGGCCCGCGGCGGCGCTGGGCGCGGGCCCGGAGCTCCGCGCACCGCCCGGCACCGGGGCGGCCCCGGCCCGCCCGCGGGCTGCCCGCGCCATGGCCGCGGCCGGAGCGGGGACAGCCGTGCCCGACAGGAAGCGCGGCCCTGGCCGTCCCTTCCGCCCCCGGCCGCGCTCCGCCCGGGCGCCGGCGGCGGCCCCGCAGGTGTGCGCGGCGCGGCGCGGAGCGGGGCGGCGCTGCGCTCCCCTCGCCGCCGGCCCGGCC